TAGATTATAGGCGGAATCGAACTTAGACTACGATTTCCAACTGAACGACGGGGTAAGGGCAGAGATGGGTGGGAGAAGCGGAGATGCTGGTTTACGTCACAGGGGATCGGGAGACGGAGAAAGTAACTAAAATAATGAATAGAAATAGTCTAAGATCTTGCTTGAAGGTAGGAATCGGGAGAGAAGTATGGTTCACAAGTTATAAAGGGTTATGTTGCTAAGTAAGAAATTTAATGCTGAGTGAAAGCTGGTAACGTTGTGTTTGCTAGCTTTCATTCGGCAACAAATTTGTGCTGCTTCGCATCATAAACGAAGAAAGCGAAATTCAATTAACTGATGGAGTTGCTGCTGGCAACAAAACGAAACAACTTTTTTTTGCCGGCTTTTCGCACGTTTCTACGATGTGGGCTAAGACTTGTTCAGCAAAAGCATTCGCACAGTACCGATGACAGCATCGGAAAATGTTTTAAAAGGAGGCATCCAGTGATGGATATTACACCAATAAACAAAATAACGTGGAAGTTGGTTTCAAACACGCAAAATTGCTGCTAATTACGCATCTGAAGTCGAAGCCTTCTCGTTTCCCTCGTCCGGGAATTTAACTGCCTTTAGCAGAAAAGCATGCCCAAAAAACACAAGACATAGCCCTTCCACAATGCTCTTCTGATTTATACAAAACGGAGGAATTACTCACTTATTTGAAATTCAGTTTTATTACCTCTCTATTTCTATCAGAAAAAATCGGCTCGAACAATAAATCACATTCATGCAAGCAACCATTCAGTGAAATACCTCAGATTCAAGGCAGTACTGCCCATCGCAGAACCTGAAATACGGCTGCCTGGATAGCCACAATTTGCGAATCGCGATCGAAGATTTATTGCAGCTTCCATGTGCCTTGGGAGTGGCGTTTCTGTTGCATCATGTATGCCAAAAAAATCGTCCTTTTCTTCAATCATCACGCCATAAAATTAGCTAAACAAATTTTTAATAAAAAACTCAGACGTGCGATGAGATAAGCGTCAGTTTCACCAGTAGGCTGACCGCCATACGATGCAGCATTGCTCGAAGCATATGGAAAAGCACGCCATTTACCACAGTTATTTTCACTATCCTGAACAAGCGTTTCACCTTGTTCGGAAGTGAAAAATATAATTTCCTCTATTTTTTTCTCGTATAGAATCTCGATGAAACCATCA